CACCAATCACATCACTCAAGTGTGAACACGTTCGCTTGTTCAGACGTGATAATTCAGATGCTTCCAACGTGCGTTGGTGGAGTAGTGGTACACGCTCGCCTCGCGTGTCAGATGTCCAGGGTTCGAATCCCGGCACGACCATTGGATATGCACTACTGGTGAGCTCCAATAAGAGCGAAACTCGAGTCCAGTGCTTCCCTTTGGTGTGAAATCACCGGAAGAACTAGGCCGGAACAGGAACACGGCCGTTCAAACGAGAGTGGTGTGGCTATGAACAAAATACCTATCGCGCAAAACCCAAAAATTGCAACTGAAAATTGTGAAGTGAACCGATGAGCTAGTGTGGGACGACTCCTTGTGCGGAAACTGCTACTCCAAAGATCTGAAGCATGTGTTTGTTCATTTCCCCTAGTTGATGGCTTAAAACCGTTCGGTGTTGCAGCGTAGCTCTTCATTCACTGTTTTATTCAACAACCTCACCCTGGTTCACGGTAGACGTGGCAGTGAGCAATAGGTTCTAGTGAGTATTGAAGTGCACGATCCTACTGAAACGTCGCTGAAAAACTACTTCGTTTCGGGAGCTCTAGTGGACAAATCTCCCAAGTTCCGAATCATACCAGTTAAAAAATTCCACTAAGGTACTATGCAGTTAGTCTGAATAGATAATTCGTCATTTAGTTAAGTGAATCATGCTGCCAGAAAAGTGTAAATGCTGGGGTATACCCAAAAACCTGTAAAGTCTAACGAATTGTAAAGCCTAATGAATTATCCATCATTTATCTTCCGATAACCGGTGGGTATTTGGTCTATTCGAGTTGAACTTCTCTTTGAAGCTGGAAAAATCAATCAAATTCCATTCAATCAAAGTAATGAAAATATCAGGTGAAAATAGACTGGTGTGGCTGATCATTGGGACGCTGAATAACTTCCAGCAAATCAGTTAGTCTGTAGTCATGAATTTCGTGAAATTTGGGTTCAGGTAGAACATATAAGGTTGACGGAAACTCAGGTACTCCGACCACATGATAAGCCTCAAGAAGAGCGAAACTGGTTGTGGCTTAGGGAATAGCTTTCAGAAACCTCACGGGTAGGGTTCGTTCGAAAAAATCTACTGCGATATATTAAAATGAACCATGGAGCGGTCTTTGTGCAGCAGCTTTTCTTGAAAACTACCATAAACGAGAGATTCAGTTAGAATTCACTTGAGTATCCCGTTAAGACCAAATTGGTGTGCAAATGAGTGTATTTTGTACAAACTGTCAACTCTACAAACTGAAATTAGATCAAGTACGTCACGTTTTCGATCACAGTCCACAGCGGTAGCCGAAACACCATTTCGGCAGTGCAATAACTTACTGACAGGATGAACACTTCGAATACTTTTTTATTCTGAAAGTAAATTGCAACTTGTGGATAACGTTTGGGAGTTATTAACTTACCGCATAAAGAAGCGTTCATCAGACTGCTACAGCATCACTTTATCTTGTGAATATAGTCTTCGCTACTACTGATTTAAAAGACTGGCCAAAATCCATCGAAATTCACGCATCTGTTACACTATGCTTCGTACATATCAAGTGAGCGCCGTCCACGAATTTCAGCCAATATGATCTCCTAATTAAACCTAACGTTCACTAAGGTTGTATGAAACCTCCGGCTCGCGCCTGCTCAGCATGAAAGAAATATTTAGTAACAAAGGTTTCTTATTATTCTGAATGGCTTTCTCAACGGGGATGGTTGCGTAATTTCCGACTCAATGCTTTCACTTTGTCTCCTATGGCGATCATAGTCACTGCGCAATTACTTCATCATGTTTCCTTAGCACTTGAGACTAGTATGTACACTTCAAAGGGGTTTACAGGATTTTCAAGGCATACGAGTGGCTACGATTGGAAGCATGCAGACGTTCGTTAATCAGAATTATACAAAACGGACTTGCACTATTTGCGAATAACTTCCATGTGGTTGCTCATTGCACTAAACTGTGAATCTACCTCATAACCACGTGATTTAACATCGAGATGGGTCAGAGGCATTGCCCTAGTTACTTGCTGCTCATTGGTCAGGCGGTCACGTGGTCAGCTGTAACTGATCAGCTGACGTTCGTGAAATCACCTGACTTGACCCAGTTAATGAACACACTGACGACGTGCGCGAATACCGTTAGTCCAGAAAGTCTCCCCGTTTTTCATGAAAAAATTGGTGTGCATAAACCAAACGCCGCATAGTGCAAACTTCTGTAGGTTATCCAGGTTATCCAGAAAACTCTTCCAGTGGGTTTATTCAAACGTGGTCACATTTTCATGAGTCCATAAAAGAGGTCAGTTGACCACCATAGGTCCAGTTTAGCAAGATAAGATGAAGCACAGCCGAGTGATAGCCGGTGTTCTCTGGGTTACATTACGGCTGTGTGAAGTCTTGAGAAACCTATACTTTTCTCGAAGGTTTCCATCAATCTGCTGGTCGGAGAGCTGGCGACACAGGAGCGATACGTCCGTGTTTGCAATGACCATAGCCGACGCCACCTACGACAATGGAAAAGTTCCACCGTTCACTGCTCAGAATAAGTCGATCCGTCTGGTGGTGGACCGACCAGTGCATACAGTATTGGTGTACAGTGAGTGCGGTTAGAACGCAAGACTGGGCGTTGATTCAACAGAGGTACCTCTGGCAGGCGTCCCGTAAATGACAGACTCTTTGAGAAAATCATGGTGGAAAGTCAGCAGAGTGGTAGATGAAGCGAAGAGAACACGTAGGCCAAGCAGTTCCATCGACGACTTTTATTCGCATTAAGTTATCGGAGAAATAGTTTCAAACTCTATAGGTGATGTGAGGAGCGTTTCGAAGAATTGCAACACCTAAGGGTATGCGGTGCATTAGATGTTAAACGAGCACCGAAGTGGGAAGCTTGGGGGGAATACGAATTAAGAAATTGCATCGAGATGACTTAGAGAACCGACAGACTTTCTCCAGTTGTTTTTAGACCACAGAAATGCGTTTTTTTCTCCGTTGATCAACGAGACCATTTTCCATTTCAGTGACAAAATCCACAACACTTGGTACCGGGCCAGATAACAGTCACGTCGCGGCAGGCTAGCATGATGGTGTGGGCTGGGATTCTTGGAAAAAAATCATCAGACCGTTTTGATTCCAAATAACATGAATAGTGAGTGCTGTATTTTGCGTCTACTTTCTGTTCGTTGTAGTCTCATCATACAACAGTGCCGTAAAACCATGCAGTTTCATAGCTAGAGGAGCTTACTGCACTCAGTGGTGCTTTGAGTTCAAAGGAGTGGCTCTAAGCCATATTGTGCCTAGGGTGTACATGAAAAACCCAGTGAAGTATTTGGGCGTAGGTCATTCTACCAAAGAAGGTCGGTTAACTGACCGCTCTACTCGCAAGACCAGAGCTAGCTTGACTCCTTATTTTTGGGATACATGGAGCCGCGTGTCCACAAGGATGAACGAAGAGATCCCCCAAAAGTTTCAAGTGCTTCGCGTAAAGAAAAGGGAAAATATAACCCAGAGGACTCCATAGAAAGTGATGACCAGTTATTCTAGACTGATACTATCGAGTAGACGTGTACTTCACTGACCTGTATATGTATCTTGTTCATGCTTCATCACAGCAGCAAGATGTCTTCTTGCGCAACCAGTTTTCATATTCAACATTTCAAACAACTCCTGATCTGATGAACTAAAACTCTGGTTATATCATTCTCAAGGACACCAGATTGATTTCAAGTGGAAAGGAGTTCCAAGCCTTTTCTCTGTCAGTCACTGTAGAAGCTAGGTGGCTTATCAGTTGGTAATTACATGTTTCATAGTAGTGGCACAACACCCAAGCAGCGGTTAGCGGGGTGCTTATATTCAAATGGGGATCTATTTTCTTATTTACACTAGATGGAAAAATTGATCGAAGCCGGGACTATACGTTTCTGTTGGCCTATTTGAGAAGTTCTTGTGTACTTATCCGACTTATTTCTGACTGTTAGTTTTCCGAGATAGGAAAGCAGTTAGACCGAACGCACCCTGAAAGCCCAAATGAGGGTCGTTTTGATCTTAAGACCACCAGGCGTAGTCACTAAGCTAAAACGCTTTTTCATCATGTATGACCAGACAGCCAACTAGTTACTCCATTCTCAAAGAATATTTGCGGCAATCTGTGGAAGTGCACGCATAAGGAGAGTCATATTTGAGAAATTCCAACTCGTCCATGCTGTGCCAGTCTCGAGCGGCGCGCATTCACAAGTTGAGATCCGCCTGCTGATGTTTTGATCAAGGAAGTTAAGGCAGTGTTGTACCTACACCATCTGTTTCTTCAATGCAATCAAAATTATTCGTCTTGGACAGCTCCTGACATGTGGGATTGTGCCACATTATGTATGGTGATATTACACTGAAGCGATGCTGGTGTCTCATTGTTCAAACTGGCTCTGGTGTTCACTGTAATACCATCAAGCTTATACTCGCCGATTGATTTAGCGAGTTACCTAGTGGTCTTATTCGTTCGAGTTTTCGACGCATTCAGAGGCTCACAGACAGTGGCAGATTTAGCATCGCGCAAACTAAATGTCCACTTATGCGATGAACGCTGACCGGTGAGTCCGTATCAAGTGTCCGTTGACCCCGAATAAATAATGTAAGAGACCTGTGACACTGGTATTGAATTCGACTCCGAGACAATCGGTGCACTCAGTCGATAAGGCTGTGTTGTGCAATTCCTGTTCGGGAAAATTATACGGCTATTTAGCCATCCTGTATATTTACACCGAAGCTCTGTATGTTTTGTCCTGACAATACAGCCACGTCCAGGAATCTCTGTCTCCTTCCAATCGCATAGTCTGGCGGGCTCAATGCAGACGTAACCAATAGACAGCTGCCCACGAAACGGCACGAATATTTCGACAAATACGCCCATTTGCATATCAATTTTGTTTTGACAGGTGACTCAGTCGGAACCCAGCCGAATCTCTCGTTTATGATATCGAATATTTGTTCATAAAGCTTATTAATGCATACCTGTTATATCTGCTGATTCGCCGGCCTGTGGTATCTGCTGCTGACCCGCTCCAGTGCCTAGTGTCGGAGAGAAAAAGGCTCACGGAAGGGAACACAATAGCTATACTCCAAAAAAGTGGTTCCGAGAGCGCGAGTGCGAAAAGTACAACGGCCTCAAGCTTTTTATTGGAAGGACACTGTCTGAACTTGGTCTAATGCTGACGCACGCGGTCTGGCTTTAGTACGAGGCAGCGACGTGCTGCATATTGCGGAGGCGTTGTCTGTCCTTGATCAACGCTGACTCGCGCTGTCTGGGTTTGATGCAAGGCTGTGACGCGCTGTATATTGAGGGGGCGTTGTTTGTCTGGTCAACACCCAGCGGAGCTGAGAGTCATCGTAGATTCCGGGCATTAAGTGGTTGCTTTCAGGAAGCTGACCTTCCTGATAATACCTGGGGAAATGTTTCACAGTTCCCTCATTAACGTCTAAATAAAGATGATCCCGACCTCTGCCACTCGACTTCACCTATCTAGGCTTGGGCAGTATCCCAGCACTCGTTCCTCCTTCGTGTGGCATGGCAGCTAGCACCGAAAGGGTCTTACAGCTGAACGAAACACAGATGATCCTACCTGAAACAGGTAAAGCATAAAGAAAACTTCATTCATCAATTCGGCTACTCATCATCATCATCATCATCATCATCATCATCATCATCATCATCTTCATCATCATCATCATCGTCATCATCATCATCATCATCTTCATCATCATCATCATCATCTTCATCATCATCATC